CGAGTCTCGTACCGGCAGGGATTGTAGGTGGGGGGAGTGAATGTACAGCGCTCTCTCCCACCTTCGATACCACGACTGAGGTGCCCAACTGCTCCCCGGGCGCCGCAGCAAAAAAATGGCTGCCCACTGCTCCGGGTGTGTGTTCACGGTGTGTGTGTGTGTGTGCACTTTGGATGGGATAAATGCAGAGCACTAATGCCGAGTATGGGTCACCATACTTGGCCACATCACGTCACTTTCACTTTTTTTTTTCACTTTCATATGTAAGAAATATGTGCAAAAACAGTGCAATAATATGAATGGTTTAATTACTATTGTATGGTCTGTCTTCTCTCAGTTGTATAATGAGGAGGTGTTGGATCTTTTCGACACCACACGTGACATTGAGATGAGGAAGCAGAAATCTCACATTAAAATCCACGAGGACGCCAGCGGCAGCATCTACACTGTAGGCGTGACAACACGCACAGTCTCCTCAGAGGCGGAAGTGAGAGTCTTTTCCAAGATACTGTATCCAGATATTATGCATGAAGTGTAAGTGACTGTATTGATGTGTGTGTTGTAGATGATGCAGTGTTTGAAGCTGGGCGCTCTCTGCCGCACCACTGCTAGCACTCAGATGAATGTACAGAGCTCTCGATCTCACGCCATCTTCACCATTCACATCTGCCAAGTGCGTGTTTGTGCACCCGCAGAAAGCGTAAGTACCATAAGTTATTGCGGTCACATTCCTACAGCTGCCATATTGAGTAGAAACACACCAAAATGAACAAACACCCTATAGTCTATTGTTGTGTTTTAATTCACTTTTCATACATGGTTTTTTTCTCAGCCCCCAGAGCAGGACAATGAAACCGACAATCAACTGGCCAACAGCTCGTCTGAGATGGAAGAGTTTGAAACCCTCACAGCCAAGTTTCACTTCGTGGATCTGGCTGGATCAGAGAGACTCAAGAGGACGGGGGCCACAGGGGACCGAGCCAAAGAGGGCATCTCCATTAACTGTGGATTGGTCAGAACGAGTAATATTATTAAACAATGACACATAATAAGACTGCATATTAATTGCCCACAGGCTAGAATTATATAAGGTGAACTGAAACTTCTCTTTTCTGGCTGTGATGCAGCTGGCATTAGGGAATGTCATCAGTGCTTTAGGAGACAGAAGCAAACGATCAACGCATGTGCCTTACCGAGACTCCAAACTCACTCGCCTTCTGCAGGATTCATTGGGAGGAAACAGGTCTGTGCGAAACTTTCTGGAATTAAAGGTGGGGTAAGCGATTTCTGGTAGCCAATGTTGACATTTGAAATCACCAAAACAAACACGCCCCTACCCCAAAAGGGTCTCGCCCATATTTTGATAGCTCCGCCCCACACATACGTACGCAACCTAGGCAACGATTAGTTCTGTGAAATAAAGCAAAACCAATGTTACACCGTGTCTACACCGGACGCGAGCGGCGCGGCGCGACAAAATACTACAGAACTCTTTATATATTTACATACTGTATCTATGGTCTACACTGGATGCAGTGCGGCACGACACGACAAATCCCCGACAGAAAACTGTTGCTGCGTTCTATTTATGGCGTATTGACACAAATTTCAAATGATTTTCAACGGTCGGTTGTGTACTAGACAGACTTTAGCTGTTGCGGCGCAGACACGGTGTTACTCACCTATCGAGAAGAAACAAAGAAACCTCTGCATCCGATCGCAGGCCTTCCTCTCCTTGAGTTCTCTCCAGCGCTGGAAAGTTGATCCGATATTTACACGGGTCCTACTTCTTGCCTTAT